GGAACCAAGGATTATGCTATATTACGCTTTCCAACAGCCATGGGCCAGAGGGCTTGAAACTGATCCACCACTGATCCCACAGTCCTACTGTATTTTAAAATGAAAAGCAGAATGTTTTGATCACCATGTTGATGTGAAAGAACTGAGGAACAGGATGCCAGTGCATGAGCCTCATTGCTACTTGTTCTTGTATAGGGAATCCATTACTTTCTTTGTGTTCCTAAACTAATGTGCATGGGTTGTGAAACCACATGGAGATTTAAAAGTGAATGTTTCTTTATACTCTGATAGTATCAGGGAATATATACACAAGGAGAGACGTTTACTCAGCTTGCAATGTAACTGTGGAAATGTCTTGGCGAAACGCGAGGCCTTTATAGAGAATTGCTGCCTTCTTAGACTCTGTGCCAATCCATGCTTTCCCAGTTGCAGAACTGTGATCAACCTTATTCCTTGGTGTACACCTTTTCTTATGGCCTGGAAAAGTTACTTTTTTCGATTAAAACAGCCCTCGATTAAAACAGTAGTATGCCCAATGCCTGTGCAGGTTGGGGAATCTAGGTATTGTCTTAGTCCTGAAATGTACCATATTTTACCGTGTACAAGATGACACTTTTTCCTAAAATAATCAGAGGAAAAATTGAGGGTCGTGTTATAAACGGAAGGAAGCAGTCACGTGCGCACGCGCTCGGGTGCCTCTTGCTGCTGCCGCTATCGCCCAATTGCCTCTTTCAGAGTTCATGGCTTGTCCCCTCCGTGACTGAGGCAGCAGTGGAAGGAATCAGTCACGTGCGCATGCGCTCGGGTGCCTCTTGCTGCTGCTGCTATCGCCCAATTGCCTCTTTCACAGCTCATGGGTTGTCCCCTCTGTGACTGAGGCAGCAGCAGCAGGATCAGGAGGCAGAGACGGAAGCGAAGGAGCATTCTTACACGCTCCGGTGCCTCTTGATGCCTGCCTCCCCACCACGCGCCCAATCACCATCAGTCACGTGCGCATGCGCTCGGGTGCCTCTTGCTGCTGCTGCTATCGCCCAATTGCCTCTTTCACAGCTCATGGGTTGTCCCCTCTGTGACTGAGGCAGCAGCAGCAGGATCAGGAGGCAGAGACGGAAGCGAAGGAGCATTCTTACACGCTCCGGTGCCTCTTGATGCCTGCCTCCCCACCACGCGCCCAATCACCACCTCCAGCGAGACTGAGGGGCTCAGCTCAGTCTCTGCCTTGTCCCCTCCTGTGGTGGAGGCAGCAGGAGGCGCGACTGAGGTGCCTCTTCTTGCGTCCTTAGCAAAGGAAAGGCAGCAACAGCTCCCCTTCCTTTTTGCTAAACCCAGTGTGGTATAGCCAGTGGCCACACTGTCTGGGTGTTTTGGGTATCTGTAGTCCAAAATAATAATAATTTTTCCAAAACAAAAGAAAAAAAACCCAAACCAATAGTTTCAGGAAGGTGATACCTGCTTTCACAATGCTCTTCTCTTCCTTTACTGCTGAGGAGAGGGTTGTTTCCTGCCTACTCTGGTAGGAACGCTTCAGTGGGAGAGGCTCGTGAGTCATGGCAAAGGTAGACAAAGGCTGTGTCTTGCACACTCTCAGCAGGTTGTCCAGTTCCAGTAAAAATAATGCTAGGCTAGGTGGACTAATTGCCTGACATGGTGTGAGACAGCTTCCAATGGAGACTGCTTAAGTCACTTCTTCTGATTAATACTGAGTGATCCTGCAGCTTCTAGCCTACCGCCCCATGTTGCTTAAAGCACTCTTTGGGAAGTGTACAATTTAATTATGCAGGCTGCACATTGAAAAGCATCGTTGCACTGAAATGTACCTCCCCCATGTTGATTTAAAAATAAATCATGCCTTCCAGGAAGGATATTTTGTCATGGAAGGTTCTTGGTGCCTGTCTATGTTTGTTAGTGGTTGTACCAGTTGAAGTCTTACACTGTTTGGACAATGGGGTGAGGGGTGGGATGAAGAAATGGGGAACATTAAAGATCAGTCAGGCACATTTCATGAAGTAAATACTCTTCCCGAGAACCCCTGAGTTGGAATCATCAACTAGAATTGTCATGGAGTTTAGTAGCTCTGTTCCTCCTCCCCCCCCCCATAGCCAATGGACCTAAGACAAATCAGTGGATGTAGCCTCTCCTTGATTAAGATGGGAAAACTGGCGTAGAAAGTCAACTTGCTAAAATCCTGTGCATCAAGCTGCTATTCAAAAAATAGGAGCAGGGTCAGGAAATGAAGCGGCAGAAATGTTTGCCCCTGCATCTTATTCAGATCCTTCCTACCATTTGTGTTTATATCTTGGGGCTCGCTTCCTGTACACTTTAGTTCTTTATTAGTAAGTGCTGCTATCACTGGAATACCACAAATTTGCCTTTGATGCAAAAAGATCCCTTTGGCTAATTAGGAGCAGACAATTTAGTACTTCCATTTCCCTTTTGTTTGGAGGGAACCTGCAGACATTGCTACTTGAAGGTGATATTCAGGTAACCAGAGAGAAGCCAAGGGCACCATGTCCCTCCCATACATCTAAATCACAGTAATCAATCCTTTACAGATTTCTTCTGCTGTACACTAGGCGTATCTATTCAAAATTAAGCCCCATTGAGTTCAATGGAGCTTATTTTCAGGTAAGTGGTCCGAGGATTACCATAGTACATCTGTTATACATGGGGAAAATATTTCCCCAGTGTCTCACAGCAATTAAGTTTTTCATCTACAAAGCACCATTTATTACCTTTTGATAGCCAGCTGCAAAGAAATGATTTTAGCTGTGCCATTATTTTCATTGGTTAGGACCATTTGCAGTATGATTCATTCAGACAACATTGCTGTACTTATCTTGTAAGCATTTCATTTCCTCACAAAATAAATCAATTCCTGCTTGCAGGCTATTGCAAACAAAATGAATTTAAAAAATAATAGATCTCACCCAGCATGCAGACGATATTGCCAAGTTTTTTTCCCCTGGCATTGCTGCTTCCTGCCATGCAGAAATTTAATAAGTAAATCTTTGCACATCATTTCATCTTTATGCCTTCACTCTTTGTGGAAAAAGAAGACTCAAACCCCATGTTTAAATTTTCTTGATCAAGCAGCTCTTAAAGGTATAGGAATTGTGGGGTGAAGCAGCTGCAGGGAGAACACAGCAGGTTAATTTACAGAAGAAGCCTATCATTGCCTAGACTGCAGTTGTAGTCAAAGCTTCCTGAAATTCCTGTTTTGCACCACAGTTCTTCATCTGGGGCAGAAATTTTGAGCTGCACCAAAGTTTCCCAGCCCTGTTCTGGGGGAAGAGGAGAAGGAAATAAGGTGAGGCTATGTGCTTCTGCCACCACTGCTTCTTTAAATTATCAACCACTATGCTTCTCTTAAACGCCTAGTTCTGGCCTAAGGTTGAAAATATATTATTAAACCAGGCAGTAACTTACAGCCTATCTCAGCTTATTAGAATTTCCTCTCCTTCCCCACATTCCCCCTTTCCTCCTCTAGGGATAAAGTCTTTTTCAGGGTGAGAAGTTTGCCTTTGTGGCTTCCTTTTCTTTACTACCTTTGTGGTTAATTTCCAGTTCACAGAATATGAATTCCGTGGCTCTGTATTATCCCACCACCAACCCCGAGAGAAAAGACAGTAACCTACACCTCCTTCTTTGTGCTTCAAGGGCTTTCAGGAGGTGTACATGGGATAAATTAGGTGAAAGTGGACCAGCTTCATGCTAATGAATTCAACGTCTCTGTGTTATCTAGCTGCGTTGCCTTCTAATGCCACTGTTCTCTTTGAAACTAGGGAGTAGACCTGGTTGTACTGTACAGCAGGGCAGTGCTAGTGTTGTAGGAAGAAATGACAAGGGAGAGCCTGCTTCTGTGGGACTGATCTCATAGCTATTATAGCCATTCCATGGGACAGAAAAGATGCATAAATCACCAGAAAGGACGAAAGGATAACATTTTGTGTGCTAATTTATATGAGCCAGGTTCAACTTTAGAAGTGATTTTTATAGTTTTAATAGTAGAACACAGTACAATGTGTTACTTGTGTAACCAGGGCAACCGTATTGGCAACCGGGTTGAAGTAACGTCAACACAACAGGTTTATCTCAAAATGCAACCTTCTCAGCTCTATGCTATCTTTTGGGAGGACAGTTTTCCATCTGAAGGGCTGTGATCCTCCGTTTGAAACTGCCCTGCATTTGAAGGGCTGCCTGGTCTGACTTAAAAATAGCCATGAACAGAGAGACCAAAGATCTTGAAGTGGCCCACTCATAATGAGCACATGCACAGCAGACTCCGAAGGAAGGCAGGTCACAGTCTTCCCCACTCGAGGGAGATGCGTTGTAATTATTAATGTGCACTGTCTTTACCAAAAGGCCTGGAAACAGAAATACTCTGAGAATAACCTGAAAAATCTGCCAATCATTTTAGAACTGCAGCACTGGAAGGGAACTCATGGATCATCGAGTCCAACCCCTATCAAGAAGCCACTGTTGGGAGTCAGACTCCCAACCTCTGCTTTCGCAGCCTGAGACTTAAACCACTGAGGTATCTGGAAGTTCCCTGTCAAAGTGCCTTTGAAATTTTAGACTATAACTTTTGAAAGTATGTAGGTGTTATTTATTACACCTATGTAACATAAGTGTTTATTCACCTTAAAAGTAATATAGCAATTACAAGTTACATTACATGCTTAGAAAAAAGGAAATGCAGGTAACTTGCTTCTTACCAGTTGCTTCTAAAGACTGAGACAGCACATAACAGAGTTAAACCACACCTTGGATGACTACTCTCATAGCCAGAATAGATAGCCCTGAATACACAGGCTACTGGTTTCACTAAATGTAAGGCACCTTCCAGTGCCTATAAAATTTAAGAGTCTTGAATATTTACATTTGTTTTCCAGCGTACTGTGTCACCATACTATACTGCAGATACAAATTACATAGCAAGAACAAGTAATCTGTTTCTAACTTCTTGTTGTTTGAATAATCTTGCTTTCTTTTCTTGCCAGCCTTAGACAACTTTGGGGACTCTTAACCTCTAGAGCTGTGATGAGAAATGGCTTTGGGGAACAACACCCAGCGAAGTTACTCCATCATCCCATGCTTCATCTTTGTCGAGGTAAGTTAAGCTCTTGGACTTCTGGAGGTTGAGAACAAACATTTCTAGAATTTCCAACAGTACTTCTAACTATAATGTATTAGGTAAGTTGTTGCAAAATGCAACAACAACAACAAGAAGAAGAACAACAACAATGTATTGCCAATGTCATTGTAAAAAAAAAGTGACTCATTACATTGCTTATTTTTTTACTCATTACTTCTTAATTATTAAGAAAAAAAACTTATGTCAGGAGCAAAAAAAAATAAAACAAAACACAGAATTCAAAATCCATGTAAACATGCCTTAAAATGTCCTCTAAAAGTAATGTATGAAAGTATTTAGGAAAGTTAGTCATTCTACTACACTGAGAAGTAACATAATTCCCAATTACCTATTATGTTACTTTAGAAATGAAACTTTATTTACTGTACGGGAGGGGAACAGAGTTACAATGGATTTGTAATTTGTTACCTACAAACTTTGTTGATCTCATAATCATACTGAATTAGATTGGAAAAGAAAATGTGAGCAAGACATGATAACTAGTGGGGCTGCAATCTTAAGCATGTTGGCTCAAATCCTTGCAGGAGGATTATGCTTGCAGGAGAAATATCGTATGTGTCTTGACAGGAAATTGCCACTCTAACCATTGGGGCGAAAGTGCTACAAAGAAGGAGCCTCTTCGCCACCAACGGTTAGCAATTTGAATTCCCCGCCTTTTTCCCCTGCCTTTTTCTGGTTGTAACTCGAACCTCCGGTTGCAAGTAGAAGCAAAATTTTGCGGCTAGAGCTGGTTGCAACTCGAAATGGTCATATGTCAGGATGTAAGTTGAGCCACCACTATACCTGCTTTGACAAGAATTAGAGGAGATTTTCAGTCTTATACTGTACAAGTACAATCATGATTATGTTTTGATTGTATGCAACTTTATTTGCATGATTAAAAAAAATGTTAAAAGAAGTGAGTCTGTGTTGGAAAAAATGGGAGGGGCAATCGGTTGTCCTCCAGATGTTGTTGACTTACTGCTCCCTCATTTAACAACTAAGCTGTTGGGTTGATGGGAACTGAAGTCACACAGCATCTGAATGGCCAGATTCATTACCCTGGAACAGACAGTCTTAATGTTGAGTCTGAGAAGGCTTAAGAAGGTACTTCTGATTACCTACAAAAAGACAGCATCTGATTTTGTGTCTATGCTAAAGAAAATAAGAGTGAAATTACAGCTTTTGCTGGATGAACAAATTATACTTTGTTCACATACCCTTGTTGAAAACATCACATGCATGTAAGGTCAAAGTACAAGATTCTTTATCTCTTAGTGTAATCCTGGCCTACCATCAGTTTATCAACCAGATGTGCATTGCAACACTCAAATCGTAGTCCAGCCAAATGTTTTGCTTCACTATCTATGCTTTGCATATGTTGACCACTCCCCCTAGCATTTCACGCACCTTTGCATTTTCATGTCTTTCTGTTGTGATGAAGTTGCGATTTCAAGGCATATGAGCAATTTAAAGAAGTTTCAAAACTGCCTTGGAGGTAAGCATCGTAACCATCTGTGAATCAGTAGCTTTTCTCCGTAGCTCTCAGAAAAGCTGTCCCCAATCTGTCCTGTTCTGAATGAGGAAAGGGCACTTTTGAACTGAAGATGATGTGGCCAACTACAAATGTTACATCTGCTCTCTTCACCCTAAGCCAGCATGTGAATAAATAGGACATCTAATTTACTTGCATATCCCAAAGCTACCCCCAGTGGACTTAATTAACTTCAGTTTCATCTGAGTTTTCTGTAATGCTCCAGGCAAACAGCAGAGCTCTTTGGTTGCTAGATGAAATCAGTGTGTGGGTCTTTTCAGTTCTCTAGTCATGACTTCTTTTCCTGGCAGGAGAAGACAGTTTTCCTAGTTTCTCTACATGTTGATCTCCGTCCAAATTCTTCTGTTAACTTCATTTTCATTTCTGTTGCATCTGCTGATGACTCTTTTTAATTCATGAAACATCTAGTACTGTTACTACTGTTACTATTGCCACTACTCCTTTTACTCATACTCCTAGTACTACCATCCAAGGCAGTAATAAGTGGTCAGTGCAGTGAATCAGTTGCCGAGTCATATTGTTTCTGAATGTTGAGGGAATTTAAATCTCTGAACCTTCTGCCATAAGAAAACAATAGGGAAAAAGCTAGAACTTCTGGTCTTTTACTGTTTTATGTGTGAAATGTTTTTCTAATGTCTGGCATTGGCGTGTGGCGTTCTTCAGCTTGCAGCGTGAAATGATATAGCCTTGAAGAAACTGTATTATGTCACAACCCCAACTCTTTATTCCTGTTCTAAAGGCAGTTTTGAGTGCTTGTTTCCTTCTTACTTACCACCATGGTGATCACATTCTCTTTCAGGTGTATGTTTCTCTCTAGGGACTTTTCATGCTTGGGGCCTAGGTTAAGGGTCAGCTTTGTTGGGCCTGTGGCAAGGCCTAACTCAGAACACCAAGTCCCAGATACTTCTAGACCTGCTGCTCTTCTTCCTTGTTGTTGTTCCTTAGTCATCTGCCCTTTCTTGAGTGAAACAGTAGTGAAAGGAACAAGGAGAAGAGGAGTATGCACCACATTACTGTGCATATTAGGTAGGAGATGTGAAGGGAGAGCATGTGTGCATTTGGATAAACGCCGTTTGGAAACACTACTGTATTGAACTACAATTCTTTTGTTGGCTAGCGGATTCTGCAAGTTGTACTCCCCCCAAAGTAGCTTTTCGAAGCTGTATCTGGATTTTCCATGTTCTGAACCCTATAGGTTTCTAAGCATAATTGTCAGTCCAAAGTATAATGATCTTGGGGTGGAGCAACTAGGGATGAAGAAGCTGGGGATGGGCTGAGCACAGATGGACTTATTCAGCACTCTGCACTATTTGTCAAATTTGTGGAAGGCGACTTCTTAGAGGGACATCTGGACATTTCTTCAGGAGAGGATGAAGAAAGGGAGGCTGTGCAATATTCTACAAGGGTAAATTTGGAAAGCACCTTTTCCTCCCTGGTACTCTCACAACCACTCCCCTCCCCGAAACATTTTGATGCAGTTACAGTTCCAAGTGAGCAGGATGGCCAAGACACATACTGGAAGATCACTAGTACATATGTGCATTCCACTGGCCTCAGGTGCGACAGGAATGAAGTGAAAGTTTTCTCCCTTAGGTGTTTTCAGGCTGTCTTATCAACTGTAATTTAGACATAACAACACATGAAACAGTAATCCTGTGGTTGCCTTCTACCACTTCAACCCTGCATGTGAGGATACAAATGACAGACGTTCCACCATATGCAAGAAAAAGATATTCTTCTGTATAGAGAAACTAGTATGTCTGGGGTGGGGGGGAAGCTGGGTGACACAGAATATATATTCCCTGGCATTTTAGTTTTTACTGTACTGGGGAGTTCTTAATGAAAAGAAACAATGTGACTGTGCTATCCATCCCCCATTGGGACTCTGAAATGGGACAAAGCAAAAATTGGTTTGTGTCTGTATCTTTGCGCTATGTGCCATGAGCCTCAGTCTCCAAGGAAACCCTGAGGATTTCCCCCCCTCATCCCTTCCTTTTCACAGATCTAGGGAACCGGCATTGAGAAATCAATCTATCATTCCTTCACACAATCAATATTTTTTAAAGAAATGAAAGAAAACCACCAAGTCTCAGAAGTCTCGGGTCTCTTAATTTATAACCAGACACGGACATCTCCAAAGACAAAAAAAAAAAAAACCTCTCTAATATGTGAATGATAAATCTGTCTGGAAGTGCAGGTGTGAGAGTTATAAATTGGCCTTTCTGTACTCAAGGCTGATGCAGAAGTAGAAATAAATCAGGTAACAGCAGAAGGGAAGATGCGACTGCTGCTTGCTGTCCCAAATATTTCTCCTGGCTACAAATAATGTCAACATAAGGGTTTGATTTAGGAAGCTGAATGAGACCGTGTGGTTCCTTTACAAAAAAAGGAAAAACACTGGTGTCTGGTAGTGTTCTTATTTATGGTCATTTAAAAAAGAACTACACACTCATGAGAGTTACTTTTTGTTTTTGTTTTTTTACAATTTTGTGCAACCTCTGTCCAATGCCTATTGTAACATTTACTATTTTGTGTTCTGCTTTTACAGATCATATCACTGTACTTTCTGTCTAACTGCCTTCCCTTATGGAAACAGAGAGAGGCCCTTGCTTCTCCATGTTCCCCCTGCAGGCCTTCAAATTTTATCTACACTGAGTTTAGCTGTGTTGATTCACTTTGATGCATCAGAATTAGAGATGGGATTTTCAGATTTCTTGGCCAAAAAATCCTATAGGTTTCCATTTTAGGAGTTCTGCCTGATAGACAGACCCCTTTCAGACACCGAAAAGCAACTCACCTGAGAAAGGTGGAAGGCTTTGAGACCTAGCTGGGCCTAGGTCTGTTTGAGCTTCCTGTGCTTTCCCCAGTGCTAGCTGGGAGGTTTCTTTTGTGCAGAGGAGCAAATGAGGTGCATTTGGTAGAGTGCTGCTTCTTCACATTTCTTCGGGTCCTTTTCAAGAAGAAAGGCAGGGTAAAAATATTTTAAATAAATAAGTTGATATGCAGCCTTGCAGAGAGTGTCCCTGCTGAAAATATGATGGCATTATTTAAGGAAGAAAATATCCTCTTGTCTCATTCTGAACCTTAAACTGGCAACTTTCATGTACATGAAGCCCAAGACATCTAATCTATAACATCAAGAAAGGTTACCTCAGCATTTCAATCTTGAATTGGAATAGCTGCTTCCTTTTAAAACTGGACAAAAAGGTGAAGCAAGGGGCTCATTAAACAGTTCCCAGTCATTGGTCAAACTGGTATCTGTAGAACTCAAGAAACTGAGCTGTTGGAGGGAACTGTAATCAAACAGTTTTATTCAGCTAGTAATTACTTGGTTAGAACAAATCAGAGGTCCATCTAGCTTTGGGAGTGGACAATGTTTGACCTTCCAGAAGTCATAGAATCACCACTCTTATAAATGCAT